TTGTGTACCAAATTCAAAGGTTTAATACAGTCAGATCACAGAATTGTTTAGGTTGGAAAAGATCACTGATCAAAGATCACTGAGTCCAATCATTAACCCAGCACTGACAAGCCCACCATTCATCTATAGCTTTTTCCTCCATCTCCCTAAAAATCTAGAGACTACTAAAGCAGAGCACAGAACAGCTTTATTACAAATATTATTAAAAAAAAAGATGCAGAACTAGTAATCATCAGATTATGAGAGTGCTCACTGTGCTACCTAGACTTTAAATAGAGTAGCTCCTCTTTGGACTAGATTTGCATCATACAATGCAATTATTCTGTACAAAATCCCCAATGCACAGAAAGGCTCTTTTAATGTTATGGACAAAAAAAAAAAAAAAAACACTAAAAAAAAAAGAGGGAGGAGAGAGCTACTTAGCTTTATTCCCAGTAAATTAACAGTTATGGAGGAAGTAGGTAGGTGAAAGCACTACTAAAAAGTTAAAAGTACTTTCATTTTAAAGCTGATAGTATCTCACAGCAACACATGAATCCAAATTACGTCTGAAAGCTCGAACAGCATTGTTCAGAAGGACCACTATTCTTCTTATCCTATACTGCAAAATTCTTAATATCATCCAACTCCTATCTCTCAATAAGTTTCATTTTATTATGAAAATTTTCATTTTCTTGAAATTTTCATTTCAAGAAAACAGGAAGGAGTTATGCATGACTTGTGAATTGATGCAGGCAGAGTATAAATGCTTTGTGATTGATGTAAAGAAGTAACTTCTTAGGAATTCCACAGGATGTATCAGCCCAGTACAGAAAAAGAAATCATAAGCAAATGATGCTTAAGAATAAGAAGATAAGCAATCTGAAACAGGTTTAATTTAATATTAAGCTCTTCTCTTAACAATTAAAAAAATAAATATTTCAAAGGCAGACTGAACTCTTATTCTGTATCACATTCAAGATCTAACAATGTAAAAGAGCATCTCCCTACTCCCTTCTGCTCAGATATCCTGTTGATGTTTTAAAGATGACATTTAGCAAATCTCTGAATTTTAATTGAGCAGCTCAGTGCAGAACTAAAGGATCTTTTCACCTGTCCATCCAGATTCATATGCACCACTTCCCTTCACAAAAACAGAGCATACTGAAGAGGATTATCTCAAAAGCTAAATATTAAGAAGGGTTCTCTTTTGCTCAGGGAGCAGCTAAAAAGCACATAATCTTTCCTTCAATATCAAGGTGAAATCCTGGGAAGGAAAAATTTGATTTGCACTAAAATACTTGTGATTAGTTGAAACACCTGAGTTGCTCAAGCTAGTATATAATCCCAAAAATATTTTAGTTTCACTGTTATATTTAATACCTTCAAGAACAAAGACAGTTGTTTTTACTATTACAAACAAGGAGACAAAACAGAAAGTTAATGGTGCAGCACTTTGCACCTTTGTGCAACTGCCTCAATAGACAGGGAAGGAGAGCTCCCTGCCTTCCTTCAGGTGTCCTCCTCGACAGGTTTCCCAAAGCCATGACTCAAACAGTGAACAGACCGTTTCTGTGTCTTTAGTTTCACAGTCTTAACACATCCCTTCAGAGCCTCCTTGTTAAAAGTACAAGTGTCATGGTCAAGGACACACTTTCAGAATACATATCCATCCTTGGCTACGTCCTCAACCTGATTTTTGAAGCTGTCACTTTGCACCTTTCCCAATTCTATCAACTTGTCAATTTTGCAGTTATACCAATGAACTAAAGGTTCTGAGGAAAGATTCAAATGTAAAAATTCTCTGCCCCATCCCAGTGAATAAATGTCTCTGGAGGTTCCCCCACAACTATCATCATTTCATTTCCACACATTCCTTACAATCCACTCTGCTGAACAGCCACATCCTGATGTCCTTTGATCACATATACAAAAACAATTAAAATGAAGGATGAAACTCTGGAGGAATCAGAGAATGAACATAAACCTGGAAGTAATTTCTTAAGCATGACAAGAAAATACAAGTCTTTTTTGTAGTCTAGTTTGTTTCAGTGACTTTTACCACCTGGATGGAGTGCTATTATGGCAGCAAAGGAACCACTGGTGTCGCTACGAGTACACGAAGACATTTGCCACATGATTTACACCAAAGGCCAAGAGCTCCTTTTGACTTTGAGTTATTCTTGCTTCTATTACCATACTCTCTCAAAGCATACAAAAAACCCTCATATAACTTATCTAAAATGTTCTCACTCTTAGCATGCAGGTGCAGCCTAGTGACATGCTCAGATTTAATGCTGTACAAGGAGACACATTAAGACAAGCACATTATTTCTGCAGACATCTTCCCTACTCCCAACATATACAATAGGGGTATATACTTAAACTAGCTTCAAGTTTCCTTAGCATAATAACTTACAAAAACAATTGCTCAGTTTCATCTTTATATTTAAAAACAGCCTTGGAAATGTGTTTAAAACATCCATTTGACCTATCTCAGCAACTCTAAGGTAAGAAGGCACTAACCTAGGAAAACACAGTGAAATTATTTGTCTGTCCTAAGTTGTCCAAGATGAAAAACTGCAATCTTAATAAACAGTACTCAGGTCTGTCCAGTTATCTGAGTCTCTCACTGTGTGTTTTTCTCTATTTCCAAGTGTCCTTTAAACACTAAGCAGTGTGTGAGCACACAGGATCTAGTCTTCCACAGCAAGGCACAGCTCCTATCTATAACAGTCATCAGAGATATCAGAACCTCTGACTTAACACTTTCTCATTTTTAGAGCCTTACACGACAACAGTTACAACAGAACCCTAAATAACAAACACACAGCCATGGTTGACTGTCACCCACACTGTTGAACACTGCAAGAAAGGATCATTTCCCTGACCCTGGAGAGGGATCCTCGCCTGCTGCTGAAGAGAACATGGCACTGCTCCTGCCCCAGGTCTTGGAAACCACAAGGAGGAAACAGCATTACAGGCAGTGCCACTTGCCTAAAGGGCTCTGCCTACAACAAGTGACACTGCCGTGCCTTCCTAATTTAATTTTCTCTTTGACTAAGATAGAAAGATGATAAGCAGAAACTTGAAGCAAAGGAACCACCCTTCTGTTCTGGACAGCCTCACCATGTAAAGCTGTATTTTAAAAGCTGTTTGCCACCATCATATTTTTAAATTTTTCTTTGAAAACATTTAACTTCAGAGGATCCTTCCAGCTGTACTTGCAACATTCACCAGGAAAATTTTACACTTACTTCCCTGAAGAAGGTTATTCCAAACCCTAAAACTAGGTAAATTGATCACTAAATAGCAAAGGTGCATTCAAAGACATTAACAGTTCTGGTGGAATGGGGTTTTGTTTCGGTTGGGTTTTTTGGGGCTTTTTGTGTTTAGGTTCCTTTTTTTTTTTAAAGGAAAACATTATATACAAAGATATTGAACATTTTTAAAAATTACATCCAATTACTTACTGCAATTTTTCTAATCTGGAGCTTAATTTTAAAATAATACATTCTACAAGAAACTATACCTTTTTTATATTTAGAGATGTTTGAAGACATTGCTGACTTGGTTGCAGAACAAAAAAAATCACTTGTAATTTCCATAAATCTGTGCTCATACTTGAACATGCCATTAACTTCAACTCAATCACTGCCAGTGTCCACCTCTTCACCCTTCACCTTTTCTTCTTCATGCCCTAAACAGAACTTTTCTCTCATTAGAAAAAATAAAAATTCAAATACAGACAGTAATTGCAAACTGCTTTTTAATTCATTCTGACTGCACATTTCACTCTTGCCCTCTCGCATATTCCATGTCTTGTTTAGGTTGTCTATTTTCAAGAACTGAAAGTATGTTTCACTCTGTAAAGTAGCCAGTCTAAAAGGGCTGCAAAAAAAAACCAGCCAGTGTCTCAACCCTTCCTTAATAAAAACAATTACTTGTTCTATAGCCTAATTTCTTCCTGTTTCTCTAAAACTGTTAACCAGAGAATAGGCATTAAGAGCACACTTCATTCACAAGGTGACATCCACTAATTGGTCTAACAGGGGATCCTCTATCAATAAAAGCCAGAAACCTTTACTCCCGTTATAGGTCAAGGGCACAAGACCTCAAATCGAGGGCACTGAAAGTTTAGGAAAAGCACGCTTTTTCTCACCTTTCCCTTCCCCTTAAACTACTTTCTAATACCAAAAGAGCATTCAGTGATTTCAGGTCCAAAATTCTGGGTGTGCCAAGTACCACCATTCACAAACATTTTAAATAACTTTTCGCACTGAAGCTCAATTACAGCCCAAATGACAAGTGCTCTGCATAGCACAACACACACAGTATGTTCTGACAGAATAAAAATGGAAGTATCATAAGTGGCGTTTCATTCAGCTCAGGTTAAGGATCTTATCTATCTTAGAGAGTGACAGCATAAAGAGGAACATACAGGTGGCTTACAGGAATTTTAATACGTCGCGAAATAGCGAAAGTTATTTCGCTGCTTTATAATAACCACTTTAAAAACTCAACAGCGGCAATAAACAACCCCAGCTTCAGTGGGGAAAAAAAAAAAAAAAACCCTACACTCGTCCACAACGATTTAAAGACAGAAACGCAAGAATAAGTACAGGAGAGGTTGCACAATAACACATGATCTTCCCTATCACATGCTTGGCAGCGCGCTCGCTCCCCGGCGGTCCCCGGTCAGACCCCGGGGCTGCTCGGCCGCCCGAGGCAGCCCCGGACGCCCCGGGAAAGGGGCTCCGGCCAGAGGGTCGGGGCTCCCCGAGGCTCGGGCGGGGGCTCCGCGGGGACCCGCGGGGCGGGAGCGGTGTTACCGCGGGGCCCGGGCGGCGGCGGAGCCTCTCCCCCATTCAATCCCTGCCTCCCTCCGGCTCTGCTCGGGCGGCGGCGGCCGGGGCAAAGCACCGAGCGAGGAGGGGAGGCGGCCGCCGGCCCCGGGGCTGCATCCCCCGGGCGCGACCCCGCGCCCCCGGCTCCGCCTCGGCGGCGGCGCCCGCACTTACGCTCGAAGTCGGAGTCCGAGTCCTCGTCGCCGCGCTCGGGCTCCTCGTCGCCGTTGGACTCGGTCTGCATGGGCTCCCCGTCGAAGCTGACCACCCTGCGGCCGCCACCCGCCTCCTGGTCGCGGGCATCCCGCAGGCGGGCGAAGTAGTCGGCGGCGAAGCCCAGCAGGTCGGACGGCCGGTGCCGCAGCACCTCCACCGTGTAGCCCTGCAGCAGCTCGGTGAGGCCCGGCGGGATCTCGATGCTCATGGTGCCGGGCGCCCGGGAGGCCGCCTGGCCTCCCTCCCCTGCCCCGTCCGCGGGCGGCGGTGTGGGTGCGGGCTCGGGGCCTCCGCGGCGGGCGCGGACCGACTCCCGCCGCTCCGGTCACACGAGCGCGGGGCGCGGACGGGAGGGGCGGGGCGGGAGCGGCCCCGCCGCGCAGGCGCGGAGCGGGCGCGGGAGCGGGCGCGGGGCAGCGGCCGCGCGTGCGCGAGGGGCGGGGGGGGGCGCGTGCGTCACCGCGGGAGCGGCCCCGGGACCGGGAGTGGGACGGGAACCGGGAGAGGGGAACGGGCACGGGGCGTGGGGCCCGGGGACGGCGCTGGCAGCGTGTGCAGATGGTTCAGCTCTTTGGAAAACGGTTCTGCCCGCGCCGTTAACACCCCTCCCCCGGTCACGGGATTCGGGCTGGGTTTGTGCCGTGTCGGGAAGCGTTTGGACCAAAGCTGGCGGCGGGATAAGGGAAGGGGGGGAGGTCGGCTCGGTGACCGGGCAGGGAGGCCCTGGCCGTCGCTACCTCCTCGTTATTTTTCTCTTATTTCCCATCTGTGACCTCGTTCTCTCATTTCTTGTCAGAATCACAGAATCGGTTAGGTTGGGAAAGACCTCTGAGATCATCGAGTCCAACCTCAAACACCACGATGTCAACTAGACCATGGCACTGAGTGCCACGTCCAGTCAAAAGCACCTACAGGGACGGTGACTCCACCACCTCCCTGGACAGCCCATTCCAATGTCTAATCACCCTTTCTGTGAAGAATTTCTTCCTAATGTCCAGCCTAAACATCCCTTGGCACAGCTTTAGGCCATGTCCTCTCATCTCGTATCCAGTCGCCTGGAAGAAGAGGCCGATTCCCACCTGGCTACAGCCGCCTTTCAGGGAGCTGTACAGACTGATAAAGCCTCCCCTGAGCCTCCTTTTCTCCAGGCTAAACAACCCCAGCTCCTCAGCTGCTCCTCATAGGACTTGTGCTCCAGACCCTTCCTCAGCTCCCTTGCCCTTCTCTGGACTCACTTCAGCACCTCAATGTCCTTCTTGAAGTGAGGGGCCCAGAACTGGACACAGGACTCGAGGTGTGACCTCACCAGTGCCAAGGACAGAGGTTTTCTTTCCTCAAGGTGCCTGTCAGGGTGTTTAAAAGGTCCCCCAGGAGCAGGAGAAGTTGTTTTTCTTTGACCTTGGTCAGACCCAGTCTAAATTTTAATCTAATTCTTGGTAGCAGTTTGATTTAGGACCTCCCACCCCTCTAGTTTCTTGTCAGAATTAAGGCATTAAAGAACAATTCTTAAAATAAGTGAGCGCAAGAGAAGGAGCATGCAGCTCTTCACACCTGAATAGAGCCATAATGACATCGTTTGTGAAATTGTGGCAATAGCTCTGATCTGCTTAATAATAAACCATTAAAGATGAAGAATTTCAGAGAAATGAAACACAGAATCATAGAACGGTTTGGGTTAGAAGGAACCCTAAAGATCATTTGGTTCCATGGGCAGGGACACATTCCACTAGACCAGATTGCTCCAAGCATTGTCCAGCCTGGCCTTGAACGCTTCCAGGAATGGGGCATCCAAAGCTTCTTTGGACAACCTGTGCCAGCACCTCCCCACCCTCTCTCAATTGCTTATGTGTGTGAGCTTTGGAGGTACCCTTTTGTATGTTGTTGGATGTGCTTTATTCAGATTTTTGCTTGTCTTCATTGTACAAAACCTGTTATCTGTGTGTTTGGCAGATGCCCAGGGGAAGGCAACAGGCTGTGTGGCGTGGAGCCGTTGGCCTTTAAGGTTTGACGTTGCTGGAAACCTCGTCTTGGGAGAAAACAGTCCTGTACAAACATGAGTCAAGGGGATATACGGATGTTGGCTTAGTGACACCGCTGCGCGTTGTCAGTGTAAATATTTTTATTTGATTCTTCTTCTGTTTCAACAATAAAAGAGCAGAAATCAACTTGTGCTCAAAATACAAAATTTCACTCAGAAGCCCAGAATTGGCTGAGGCAGTGTACTGTGTTTTGGTTTTGTTTGCTCATGTGCCAGGGTCCCCTTGCTTATCCAGATGGTTCTCACCACACTCCCATACAAAGATATCCTGTTCATGGCTGCTGCGTGGAGGGCACAGCAGTGGATCCTAGAACACCCATCCAGTGCCTTTACTTTATTCTCAGCAAGGGGTGCCAGTTGGAAATCTCATGGCACTTAAAAGGTGTTCGCTGTAATACAGGTCCCATATTTTTATGTGGAGTAAGATTACATCTTGTATCCATACAAAATTAACAAATTTTTAAAATGCACAGGAGGTAGATTTGCCACACCTCACCAGTTTATCCAAATATTTTGTATAAAGCCATTTCTCTTAATTTTTATTCTTTTCTACAGCAGGAATAACAGTTGCTGTATCCCCTTTTTCAAAAGATAATTGACACTGATTTTTCATTTGCCACTCCTACAGTATTATCTGTCTGGTGGTCTCAAACAATATAAGAGCACATTTCACTGTTCAATGTACCTTCTTTAAATACTGACAGAACTGATACAGGGAAAAGGAACTGATCAACCATAAAACTGTATATCTGGTTAGTCCCCCACAAAATAAAGATTTCTGATGAGATCTTTCCTTTGCCAGTTGGGTGCTGAAGACATTGCTGGTGGTGAGGAGGTAAAAATGAAAGGTAGAAAGTGCTGTAGAAATGGAAAAACAAAATGCCATTAAAAAGCACTGGCAAGTAGCGTCAGAGGAAGAAAAGGAAAGTCTGATTCCAAGGGAATACACTGAGTTTTCTTTACCACTCTCTTTCACAACAGCCAGCCACCTGACAAAAAATTGCCTGCTTTTGGCACCAGTCAGCTCTTATATTAGCTTTTAGCATTTGTTGGCAATTTTCTCTCATTTGTGCCTGTGGATATAAATCTGGTTATTTATTTGAGAAAATGTGTTGCCGGTAAATAGTGTTAAGTCTCTGAAGAGCTGCATTGTATTGGCTTTCTGGTATTTATATGTCCACACAGAGCTAATCAGCTTCAGAGGAAAGTAAAGAGCAGAGCTGTGTTTAGCCTTCTCTGAAGGTCAACAGACAAAATCAGAAGCATCCAAGGTCACGTGAAGCACATTTTCAAGTTGATTTACGCCACAGTTTACCCTGTTTCTTTAAACACCTTTTTTTTTTTTGTGAGCATCAGAATTGATGGCACAAATATGTGAGAAACTTGTCGGCGATCAAGTTAATTGTAATACTGCCTGCTGCGCATACATAGAGCTCATCATACGCTTTCTTTCACCCTGAATTTGCATAGCTTTTTTAATTATTACTATAATAAGCATTCACATTAAAAGAATGGTAGAAAATAAATTAGGAAATGCACTTGCAGCCTTAATTTGATCCCCTTTATAATAACGTTTTTAATTCAGGCAGCATGACCAGTGCAATTTCTTTCCACTGTCTTCATGGCACGTTCAGCACCCACTGTGGAGTTAGATAAGACTTGTGTGGCTGATGAAGTTGGTCCCCACAGCATTCCTATCAAAAAATATATATTTCAGTATCACATTTTCTCCTAATAATTTCTTAATGTTTGAAAAATATTCCCATATTTATCACGTGCCTGTGCTCCCAAATATTGAGGTCTCTTCCCTTCACTCTGCCTGCCCTACCCAGTGCTGTGTGACTTTGATGCACCCTTAGTGAAACTGTGATGGAGCTTCAGTGCTTGTCCTGCTGGCAGGACCAGCCAAGTTGCAAGCAGAAAAAGCAAAATAGTCTGTGTAGTCTTGCACAGGGATAAAATAATCAGATTAAACCTCCAGACTGGCTCCTTAAAAAGTAAAATAAATCCTTTTATAACAAGTAATAATTCACTTCTCATAAACTTGTCAGCACCAGCTAGAGCTCAGACTCTATATAAACATACGTACATCTTGGATTAATTACACTTGCCTTCAAATTCCGTACAAGGATAATGCAAGAAAACACTGAATATTCTGATGGTTGGTATTAGTGAACACAATCTCTTGTTTAAGGGGAGCTGGATTAATTATCTGGAGTAAAGCTGTTGTGTGTTGTAGGAGACACGCAAGCCCCCTCAAGCTGGGCATGTCCCACACCATTACACCACTACAGACAGGTTCAGAGCCTTCTACAAACAAGGTGAAATCCTGCTCTTGCCCTTTTGCTTCAGCCTTCTCAAAATAAAGGCCTTACAGTCCTACCAGTCTCTCCTCCAAAAGCAGCTGCTTCATCCCCAGAGTCACATTAAATCCTCCTTTCTGTACCTGCTCAACTTTGCTGTGTCTTTCATGAGCACTGTGTGCAGGTCTGGTCTCCACATCCCAAAATGTGGGCTCATGCTGGTTTTACACAGCTGAAAAATGATGCTGACTATTTTGACTATTTCTCTGACACTTTTCTTTGGGGTTTTTTTTGGCTACCACATCATTGTGAACTGAAGGCATCCAATCTTCATTTTAAGACATAGAGAGATGAAAAAATTCCCACTTCCCTTTTTCTGTTTCTCCAGTGACTGACCACCCTCATTGTAAAAAACATGCATAGTTTCACATTTTAAGTGTTCTATGTTTGACATTCAAACTTTGTTTTTCTACCCACTACTTTCTCCTGTGGCTGTAAATGTCCATAAACATCATGTAACTTTGTGCATAATGTACACAAACCTTCTGGATTTTTCATTTTACCAAAAGAAATAGTAACAAAAAACAAAGTGATCCCAGGCTTAGCTACCAGGATGCAGAGATCCTTCAACACAGCGTGCAAGATGAAACTGCTTCTCCTGTCTCTCTTTGGTTTTCTTCCTAGGCAAGTGCTAAACCTCAGAAACCAAACTTTGGTTCTCTAACCAGTCAGTTTGCTTATGACAGTAAGCAAGACTTAGTACGCATTTTTGTTAGCCTATAGAGTTAGTAGTTTGAGTACTGTATATTTCAGTAAATCATATAGGACTGTCTATCAATAGTACAAAGACCAGAGAAAAAAAAAAAGCTTTTTGAAGCTGACATATGTTACCTTGACACTGCCTTTAGTCCATCAAAAATATTTTGGATAATTCTTGGAAAGATACTGCTGCATTTGTTGATAAATTTCAAAGTATCGCGTTGGGAGAAACACCTGTATAAATGTCCACATTTTCATTGCCATAATTTAGTTTATGAACACAGAAAACACTGATTCTGTTGGTAGCAATTACAATTTTTCAGGCAGTAGAAAACATCAACTTTAAAGTGCCAGATTTTGTAAAACATTTGTCCTAGCTGTTACCTAGATGTAAAAAGAAATATCTCTGTTGTGTCATACTTATGACGTAAAATGGCACATGTTTGAATCTAGATAGAAGTAGTACCTGTGACATAAGATGTGTGGGGTGACCAGGTTGTTTAAACTACCCTGAGCAACACTACGTAGCAGATGTAGAGTTTATGGTTCCCACATCAGAGAAACCCTAAGCAACAGCACTTTGGTGTGTAAACAGGGGATATTCAAATAAGGACTGAGCTAAGCAGTTGGTTCGTTTTGGTTGTAGTTTAGTTTCTGCCCCCAGCACTGAAAACTTTACATGAAGAACTTCTCCACTGAGCTTGGTGTGAATTCTGGGCAGAGGGAGCTGGTGGAAACAGACCTTTGTGCACATCCTGCGGTAGCCAGTCACTCACTGGATAGCCCTGATCCTGCTGGATGGCTCTGTCAGCGGCAGAGTTCATGGACATTGCTACTAAATAATGGTAAAAGGTTTTTAGATTGTTTTGTTTTAAGAGAAGAAATAAAATTAACCTCCCTGTGAGTTGTTCAAAGACTAATCTAAATCCAAAATATCAATTACTGTCTGTGTTTTCCAGCAGAACCTGTTCAAACACAAGTTTGTTGAAGTTAAGGGGTTTGTCACACCAAGAGCTCTGACATTTATTTCTTTCTTGAGCCTTTGCTCATGAATCTGGAGCTGCCTTTTGCTGTATGTAGATCCTTGTCCCCTCCCCACCTTCTCACATTTCCACCTGACACAGTTCGGGTCATGAGCATTTCTCTACTGGATCCCAACCTGTCACTCCCCAGACACGTATTGCTCTGTCACTGTTGCTACAGCTCCTGTTTTCACATCTTCTGTTGTCACCTTTGTCCGTTGCCTGTTATTAAACATTTCTCACACTTGGCATTTGCCCATTTGTCATACATCTTCACCAGCTGCTTGTTAAATAACTGTTGCCCTTCCCAAAACTTCACCTCTGAGGTTTTACCCCAAATTCATTACCTATCTCTCACCCCATCTTGCTTAACTCCCCCGGTGGGGCACCTTCAGCCTCCTTCCAGACTGAGCCTCAATCTCTCCCTCCTCTTGCAGTGCCTGATCCCTCTCTGAAACAAGAGTAACAGCGTCTTTGCTCTTTGGCCCTCTTTTATTGGCACCACAAGAAGCCATTAACACATCTTCCTGTCTGTTCCCAGTGTTTGTGCCCTGCTCTTTAATACCCACAGATCCACCCCATGCACAGAAATGCTGTACACAAACAAGGGACAGTACTACAGTGGGTGGTACATGAAGGGCTCATTCTACCAGCTCAGCATGTTGTGTTAACTAATTACAAGTGTTAAAATTGCAGTATTAAATGTAAATTGCAACAGTAATAAATGAGCTTTATCCACCAAATCCCCAAATTTTTATATTTCTCTCTGAAAGCCCTTTTATGAGACCTATTACAGCTGTTAGCACTTGTTTTAATTAAACTCATAACGCAGCATGAAGCTCAGTTAACCAGTTTTTAGTTTTCAGAGAAAGTCAGTAAGAAGTTGGTATTGCATTTTTCTGTCATGCTTCACATCCTGTGCTTTGGGTACATAATAAAAATGTTGACAGAGGATTCTGTATCTCAGGGGAGGATAAGGGAGACATGAAACTTCTTACTTCTAGGCTGTTTTTTCCAATTCAGTTTAGATTCTTAAATTTTATAAAAGTATTTGCTGTTTGACTGCATCCTGGATGTCTTCATTCAAGGAAACGGGTGGTCTCAGCATCTAAGCCAGAGGATTATAAGGCCATCTCACCATGTTCAGATCCCTCTTTGTCAGTCTCAGTAAAAAACTGATTGGTTTGTAGAGCTGAAAAATGCTTGCTGCCTTCAACTAGGACTTAAATCACATCTGCATCGGACACTGATTGGATGGGTGTTCCGTGTACATGCTGCTCCTGAGGGGTTTTTTTGTGACTTTAATTCCCAAAGCTATCAGCCCAGAAGAGTTGCATTAGAAAAAGGAAAAGAAGAATGCGGTTTTAGAGAATGCAACGGCACTGCCTTTTGTTGCAGCTGCTTCGAAGTGTCTCTCCATTGACACCTAGTGTCCGTACGGGAAGATCTTCATAGCCGTGCTGGCAATATTTATCTCTAAATCTTTAAAGATCTTTCAACTTGTGTAGTTATTAAGAGCTCTTATTGATCAAACCGAGTCAGCCAGGAGATGAGACCGATGGTGCAAATACAGCAATCTCACTACTCCTGACAGTGACATCAGTGACATCCATACATGACTATGTTCTGAATGGCTCTAGGAGCCCATTCATTGCTTTGCAGTGCAAAAATATTATCCTTTTATAAGGTGTCCTGTGAATATATGTAAAATACCTTCAGTCTCTATCTCTTTCCTCACAGCATCATTGTGAACTAATGCATATTTAATACTAATTTTAGGAAGTATAGTACTTTGTTGTCAGGCATTATTCTATTCTTCAATTAAAGATGAGTCTTTTTCATTGATAGAAATCTCTTCATTGCACTCCATTTTATCACTAAAAGCTATTTAATAAAGAAGTGTCTTTATTTTTACAATAAGAGTTATATTCATACTTATTTATTTATACTGTAGAAATCCCAAGTGTTTGCAAAAGGATTCGTTGTTCTGCAAATCTTGAACTGTGAGCAATTAATCATGTTGTTACTGTACACTTTGCTCCATGAGCAACTCTGCCTCTGCGGTACTTCCTCCTGCTCCTTCAGTCAGCCTGAAGTGCTTATGTTGGGGTGTGCACGCAGGGGCTGTGCCAGAATCACAGCCACACCGATGTGGAAAAGTCTTTCCCTTCCCTGAAAACTCTCTGTACATTCACACTTTGATCATTTCCATTGTTATCTGTTTACAAAGGAGGTAAATTCAAATAAATTCTGTTATGAAAGCTTAACAAGATACATTGTCATATTTGCATTGCAACTTCAGGAAAAGATGACTGGATCAAGGATGCACAGCAGGCACAGCTTCTGTCCATCACTGATTCTGTGTCGTCAAGGGGCTTGTGGACTCCATCATTTCTTGACAGTGTTTTGTGATTCATTCCTTTCCAGCCTTTCCTCAAACCTCCTAAAAGAGCTTTCTCTTAAACTGGTGAAATAGGTGGCATAGAAGGATCTTGTCCTTGCTGGCAGGTGGAAGCTACTAACGTGCAAATAATAGATCTTTGCCTTGAAACAGCAGGAAACCTGCTGAAAAAGAGCTAAAACAGCCTTGAACTTCTTCCATGAAGGTCAGAGGAGAGTGAATCAATATTTCCCATCATTTCTGGAAAAGGAGCTGTCGTCAGTTTCTACGGACAGTCACATATTTTCCCTCTTTCTCCTTTCAGTGTTCTGTTATTTAAAAATACTCAACAGTCAGAGTCTGTGTTGAAAGAACTTGCTGAATCAATACATCCAGAATAGGAGTGACAGCATCACTAAGATGTGTCCTGCTTAGATTATTCATAGTTTAACTATAAAGCAAAACATGTGATAATGAGTAATAAAGGAATGTGACATAAATAATTTCATTCAGAGCAGTGCATTAGTGGGGGCACTGGTAAAGCTGCAGCAGCAGCAGCCAGAGCCCTTAATTGCAACTGCTTATAATTAGAGTTACAAATAGGTGTTTGTGTCTGTCTTTGCCGTGATCCTTCAGTCACCCCAACTTTTCATCCTCGGTAGGACCCAGTGCTTCCATCAACCCCAAATTTTCCCTCCATGGCGTCAATGGAAGGAGGCAGCAGCCGAGAGCATCGCGTTGCTGTGGCAACACAACCCACTTCCCCTGGGACCGCGTTGCCTCGGCGACATCAGGCGGGCAACACCGGCGGGTTAAATCGACTCAGAGCAGCTGCCCCCTGAAAAACAGGACAGCCCTGGCCTCGGGGAGCATGGGAGACCAGAGGTTCATCTCACCAGAGCCTGGTGAGTGTAGGACCCTGCACTGACAACGGGGTCTGGGTCAGGAGAAGGTGACTGGTGTGTGTGGTTCTTTGCAAGTGGTGAGACCAGACTACAGCCCAAAGGAGCTTCCCATCACCGTTTAGTGTGTTGAAATAAGATGGCAAGAAAGATAATGTCAGTAGGAGGGGATTAGCTGAAGGGAGCGAGTGCTGAGGCCTCTGTCCTTGGTTTGTATAATCAGGACCTGCAAACATCCCACAACATCAGAAGTTGTTTTCTCGTGTTACACAGTGCATCTATGAGTGGAGGTAAGCTTGTACATGGATTTTAGGGTTGTCCAGTGCTGCATTACACTGTGTCACATTCAGTACCCAGCATCATGTAGGCAGCAGATTAAAAATCAATTTACATAGGCAAATGCCTGTGTTAATGCTGTGAGCACAGAGCCTCCCACTTGTGTGTCTGCAGGCAGGCCAGCAACCAGCCCCAACCCACAGGAAAGCACTGACACATTCCCAAGAGCCCACAGACCCTCTATCACAATGGTGTTCTCAGATATCTGTACCAAACACCTTCTGGGGACTTCACTGGAGCCATCTGTGTAACTGCCAGTGAGGTGAGGGGGTTCAAAGTTTGATGAATGGATATCAGTTATCCACAGCACCTGAAGAGCTATTTGAAAAGCAGGAAGATGGTAAAGGACAGAAGAATTTGCAGAAGATAGGTAAATTCCTTGTGATTTGTCTGTTCTTGTATTAAGAAACCTCTTGCCTACTGTAATTAGCCCTTGAAGAGACAGCATCTCTGGAACACAAGCCTCTGTGTCCTGATTTTTTGTGTTAGCAATGCTTTACTTTTTGTTTAAGACTTACACTAATTCTTGCAGAAGAACAGAGCCTGCTCTAGGGGGTCTAGCATTACTTTTTGCCTCTGAAAATATTACTGTCTGCTGCAGTGCTATGTCTCAATGATGTTAACATATCTGACTTTAAGTAGACATTCCCTGCACTTTCAGCTACAGCCCTGCTCTTGCTCTATTCTTTGTATTTCTGACATTGGCCTTACTCTCTCTCAGCCATTCTGTGTGTATTTTCCACACAACATTAGCTGTCTTTCTTCTTACAATTAGAGCTGTGGTTAATCATGTTTACAAAGGATTTCTGAGCTGTGGGAAATGTTTCTCAGAATGTGTGGTTTTGCATCGTTTAGCCTTGAAAGGATGCTGCCTCCTCTGACCTCTTGCTGTTTTTCTCTCAGTGACTCTGGTAATTGCATCAATAGCCTTGGGAGTCACATTTTCCTTTCACATCTAGGAAAGATCCAACCTTTTCATACCCTTTCCCAGCTGAAACACATATCCGATCCCTCCTATTCTCTGTGGTTCAACCACATTAGCTTTTTTTCTGCCTTCTGTGCATACAGTCTTGTTTTATTCTTGTCTGGAATAAACTCTGCTACTTTTCTGGATCATCATTTCCACCACTCTACTTTTCTATGATCTTCTCAGTCTTCTTCTCCTCCCTGTATCAAACACATTTCTTATCTTCTCCATCAACATCCTTTACAACCCGTCTTCAGTCGAGTCCATCAGCAGTCATTCTGACAGCAAAGTCCCCAAAATTCTGACAGCATTTTGACACCATATCAAAGAGACATGTCAGTGGTTTTTCCACACCTCCCCACCACAGCTGGGCAAGAAACTCTCCAGAAACATCTGCAAAGGGAGTTTGGGACACAGAGACCAGCACAGTACCACATGCTCCCTCCACTTGAGGGGATTCATCTGCCGTGCTTCACCTTATGTTTAAAAGCAAACTGCCTTGAGGAAGACCTTTTTTTGCTTCAGAACACTGAGAAAATCAAAAATGACAGCCAGGAATGCATCCCAAACCCACACATTTCAGATTCTGATGTTACCTCAGAGCTACTCAGTCCCCACACTGATGCTCCACATTATCTGCACTTGTGGGGGGGGATTCCCTTTCAAACTCATGTCAGCGATGTCAGTTCCTTCAGGTTAATGTGCAGTCAGCAAGAAACTGGAAGCAACATGCAAAAAAACCCCCTCTTTCCTTTCTCTCTTCACACCTCTTTAAAGAGGAATGGTTTTTCTGAGTCACAGCTAACGCAAACCTGTTGGAAAAGATTCAGCCTAGAATTATACCACGGCTTAGAGGAACATGAAAGACCATTTAGTGTTCAAAGTACTATTTTGAATTATTAATCAAGCCCTCTGTCTGGCTTAGCTCAGTCAGGTCCTTCTTCAGTTTTTGTAGAGTTTATTTCTCTTGTCATCCTGAACAGTCTTTGACGTGCAGAACACAGGCTTGTTGATGAAACGAGAAGACTGCCGGCAAAGTTTGGCTCTGCCTGTGCCTTTGCAGAGAGATCTCAGTGCAGGGGATATGCAGTGCAGTTGTTCTTTTGTTCATATTTAATCATACGAGAAAGAAGAATGTAATTAAGGCCTGTCTCCCTCAACCTCCTCCTTTCCTCAGAGTATTTGAACTCTCTGAGAAGAAGGGAATGTAGCTTTTTCTGGCAGTGAAGTGCATCCCAGAGTGGATCAGGAGTGAATCTGCCCCCATCACTCCACAGCTGGCAGTGTTTTCCTGCCAAGCCATTTCCCACGCAAAGGAACATGGCCATTACAAACAGCATTGCAAGTACCAAAATCAGATCAGAGCTGGAAGCACAGTGTTTGCTCTTGGTTTTCTTTGCATGTTTGACAGCCCAGTCAGACTGTGATTGCTTCACTAACCCCCTCAAAAGCTGGATGATTTCTCTTTATCTGAAAACACCCTTAGGCGGTTACTAGATTTGAGGATGCAACATTAAATGGAGTTTGGCTCAGAAATAGACTTTTTTCCTTCTATTTAGCTATTTTAGCCATTTATTGTCTGTTTAGCTTTGTATCTCAAGTAAACTCACTTCATTTACACTCTAAACCAGGGTTTACTCTAAGCACAGGGTTACAAAAGATTTGCTGCCAAAGAATCCTGAAAATTGCAAATGTGTCATTGGAAAGGGTGTTTCAGGCTTGCAATTTTGGTTGGCCTTGGGCTGAAATGAAACTGTAACAGCAAAGACAATAAAGGACTGGAAGGGGCAGAGAAAAATGAGTCGACCCACCCGACCCCAGGACGGGGACTGTGTGGGAAGGAGATTCAGGATACTGACAGTGAGGGATGGTGTTTGACCAGACCAGGGAGAAACATCCTGGGCCTGAGCAGTGCCAGAGAGCTGCAGAAAAAAGAGTCAATGAGAAGACAGTTGATTGATGAAATTGCCTGAAATGAGGAAGGAGGGAGGAGGCTGTAATATGTAAACACTTTAATTGCAAAGTTGTTTAATCTGAGAGGTCCTAGGAGCTGACAGAATAAGTGCTGTTGCTCCTTCCCAGGCTGTGTAACAGGCACAGAGACTGACAGGGAAAGTTTCCACTTAGTGCCAGGGATATTAGATTATAAAAATGATAAAAGTTTATCACAGAAGCAATAAGCTGCTATTCTCTCAAGACCTTGCTGCCAAACTTTAGAAAAAACATTGTGGAAATCAAAGCAGAGCTCAAAAGGAAGAAATCTGCTACAGAAAAAATGCTGATTTAAATCACCTTTCAATTTGCAAAATTGTTTTTACCTACAGAGAGGCTTTAAACAAGGGGAAAATGTATTCCAGTTGCTTGGGATCAAAATCCAAGTCTCACAGACACACAAAGAATAGTCCAGAGGGAGAAGCCAATAATTAGCTGCTGAAAAAAAATGCATGGCAAATGAGGGATTCAATAGGGGTGCAAAGTGAAAAAAGGACGAAAGAATAGAAAATGTTCTTGCAGTAGCAAAAGTGCAGCTAAAATAGAGGATTTGATGATGTGAGGAATAAGGAAAAGGTTATATGGGAGGATTTCTTGGGAGTTAGCAAGTCTGAACGTTGCACAGTGACAGTGCTGGTGCTCAGAAGGAAAGTTGCAGGAAGGGTAGTTTAACTTAGGAAGAGCTATTCCCATGGTGGAAAAATATGGGCATTATGAGTTCAGGAAAGTGGAAGTTAAATAAAATTTAAGGATACAAAAATATGGAAATAGGGGCCAGTGCTGGGTGCCCACAGTGGGAGTTTGTCCAGCTGCAGCAAGGGCCAGCGAATCCCCCAGGGAAGCAGAGCCAGGAGTTGCCAGGGATGGCAGCCAAGCATGAGCCAAGAGCCTGGCCATGGTTGGGGGCTGGCTGGGGGGCAGTGGGGCCACAGCCTGGCACAGGAGGGATGCAGAGGGAGCTGGTCCAGGCTCTGATGCTCAGCATCCTGCCAATCTCATGATCCTCCTTGTCTGCTGCAGACGTCCTTTGCCACCCACTCCAGGGATGGGGCAGCCCCCTGCCTTGCAGGGATTATCTCCATCCAAAGCAGCACATCTGAAGCTTTAAAAAAAACCAAAATAATTATTAGTTGCCTTTAAACTGAGATATTTGACAATCAAAGAAATAAACAATGAAGGCAAAAATGACAAACCTGAAAATCTGTTATCATAATTCAGGAAAGTATTTGATCAAGTGCCAGACATGACAGGTCTGCTCCAGCTGCAGTTTTCTGCAGCTCAAGCAGAGGAAAGCCATGCACTCTACCAGTGGCTTTCAGACTGAAGCTGTATGTAGGAACAAGAAGTGATGGTGTCTCACGTTAAAGGACACAGTTGCTTTCCCAGTTATCCCTATCACAGGATTCAGCTTCTGCCCACAGTCAAAAGCAAATAGTTTAAAATACACTTTGAAATAGGCCAGTATGCTGGGAAAGGTCAAATTTTTGCTGGAATTTTGAGCAGTACATATTTTTACAGGAAAAGACCCAATAAAGAAGGTAAAGTAGAGGAGGCAGCAAGCACTCACTGTATCAGCAATCCAGGCTCCCAGGCTGCTGAGGCAAACAGCCCTCAGGGAAATGAGATTGTACTTTACCTCTGACATATATAGAATAACAGATTTCTCATTCATCTCTAGATTCATATTGAAACTGATTAGGCAAGAGCTACTGGGACAGGAGGAAAATCATGACCAAACCCTAGAAGCAGTATTTGTTAGCCAGATGAAGTCTCAGGGAACACTCTTTTGGATATGAATACTCCAGTCATTGGAAGGAGTTAAGAGACATTGAGGTTGACTCTTCCATGCTTCCGGTAAATGAAAACCTATTTATTTATTTATTTATTTATTTATTTATGAAAATAAGTTGCTTTTAAACATTATTTAGGACAAAGAAGGTCCTAGAAAAGAGTCACCAAGAATAAGTAAAATGATAAATAGTAAATAAATTCTTAAGATCAGATTTTTTTTTAAGCATATTTAGAATAAATTTAAGTTTAATTTCATGGCATATGACAGGAAAATCTGATATCTTATGAAAATGAAAATCAAGTGGTAAAGATCATTATTTTTAATATACGAGAATTCAGGAGAACCATTTTTTTCAGTAAGGTAGTTACATATTGTAGCCAAATGTGTACTAGTGCTGTTTACTTACTTGAAAAAGCTTTTATACTTGAGATACTTTGAAGTAAACAAAAAAGATGTAACAATTTGTCAACTGTTACATTAATTAATTGTATAAAGAATAAAAAAAAGGAAATCCCAGAGAAAAATAAGAAAAAGTCAAATGTAGAACCTTACAAGAGCACAAGTATTTAAAATTTTGAGAGGCACTTGGGTTGGCATCCTGTGTTCAACAAGCTTACATGTGAAAGTTAGTCTTTTTTCCCCAAAATATGTCACCCCCTTGTTCCCTCGTAGCCCTTTATGGTGTCTTAGAAAGTGCCATGTTCTGCCTGAGCTGGATGTTGCCCTTGAATCCCAAGGGGGTCACATCTCTGCCCACACGAGCAGTAATTTATGACCTGGGTTTAAACACGATGAGCCCAGGCTGGTTGTGATGAGCCAGGGCAGGTGCCAGGTCACTCCCATGGAGAAAGGACCTTCAGCCACATCACCAGGAGAGGTTCCTGTTATTTGACACAGAAAAGGCTCAGAAGGGCTGGGGCAGATCTTGTGGACAAAGTCCACTGCATGGAACCTTCATCCTCTAAATGATGCAGACAAAGCTCAGGCAAAGCTGCCCTGGGGCGTTGGGTCACTGAGTGACGACACGCTGGCCATACGTTCCATGGATCTAAGAGTTTATGAGTCTCAGAGTTATTTTTCATGTCCCATTGGAAGCCTCTGTGTACCTAAGGAAGCTGGATTTCCCATTTTCATGACCAGGTCACCCAGGTGAGTTTGGCAATGCATTCACATTCCTGAACACAGACATCTCAGGAAACCGGTGACTTTGGAAAGATTTTCCCCTTCCATGTCAAATTGTAGCAAATTTCAGAAGTGACACACAGTTGCCAAAGATCTTCCTTCAGGAAATACTCGTGGGCAAACATTTCACATATTTCAAGGTTCCTGGCAATCTTGTTTCAGGGAATGTAGAACAGCCATGTGACTAATGTGATTATCAGCTCTGTCAGAAAGAAAAATTAGACACGAAAATCAAGATGAGCATCTTCCATGGACACCTCACTTCAAGATCTTACCATTATTCCAAGCAAAGCTTTAGCAGGTGAGCTGAAGTGTGAACAAAAGGGACACAAAGCAAGAAGACGACCTAAATGCAGCAGGCTGGGCACTGTTAGTTTTGCCATCACTACCAACAGAGTCAGGATGGAGAAAGGGCCGTTGGTCTTTTGTTCAGCAAAACAGTGCTTGTTTATTGATGGTGTAAATGTTGCTAGGCTACGTGGATTAAATTAAAAACCTTTCCTTTCCCATTGTGTACACCACCTTCAGCAAAGAATGCTTTGTGAATATAGTAAAAGTTGTGGTTTTTTCCCAGATCATTCAAATTTAATTATAGAAGGACCTGTAGAAGACAGATTATCAGCCAGCTACTCAATAAAGAAACTTTTGAGCATATTTTGTAATCAATACCCATTTTATTAACCAGCAGTGCCAGTGCCCAGAGGAAAGTAATAGAGAATAAAATAGAAAATATCAATATGGCTGATAGAAACTATTATATTTTCATTTCAAAATGTAGAATTGGAAAAAGGTATAAAACAAGGAGAAAGGAGGATCATTGTACAGGAGCTTTGTACAAGGAGAGATTAAACAAGACATCAGCTTGGAAAAGGACCCAATGGAGAAGGGCTCAGAAAGCTATAAATTATTTCAGGAAAGTTGAAGTGGAACAATTTTACGTTATTTTTCACAAGACAAGATTTAAGAGACACCAGTGAAACCATCATTCAGGCAATCTGAAACAAAGCAGTGCATAATTAAACAGTACCACTCACTGCCATTGGATACTGTAGAGGCCAAACACAGGAAGGTGTCCGGGAGGTGATTGTATTGAAACCAAGCCTGGAGCTCTGGGTGTGGATAAAGCCTCCAGCCTAGTAAATCCCAGTCTGTGGCTGTGGATGACAGAGCTGGTGGTGGCACCCTGGGGAGGTAAACCTGGGTACTTTGTGCCCCTTCTTCTCCTCACTGGGGGCAGAGATTTGGGCTGAGAGACCCTTGGTCTGAGGCCCAATGGCCATTCGTAGAGACATAGCCTGCTTTTATCTTTTCCAGAGAGAGTAACCTTAGCTGTAATAAATTCTAGTTGCTGAGGGAGTGGGGCAGAGGACCCATGCTTCACAATCCAGTTCCCTTTGGGACATTTCCCTGCAGAGCTTCTCCACCTGCCCCTGTACCCGGAATGGGAGCGTGGAATGAAGCAAGGGGAGAGATCAGCACAGACCAGTCTTTGGGAAGGGAAGGGCTGGACTCCCAAACCAGCAGGCAGCTCCGGCATCCCTGGATGTGTTCACACTGGTGAGCAGGACAGCTACACACTGTGTTTTGCGGTCATTAATGAGAGAAATGCCAGGAACAGTCTGTGCTTTTAGGGAAAATGATGTATAGGTGCTTCATCCCGTGACCTGGACCCATGGGGAAGAAAATGGGGAAAACCCCAACAATTTATCGTAACAGAACTCATTAACATCACAAGGAATTGCTCATCTCGGGAGAGACAGACATTTCACACATGTCACTCTGCCTCATCCGTGATCCCCTGGTAGACACAGATTCACCCCAGCCCAGGGGAAACTGAACTTTACAGTCCCGATGGAGCTTTTCCTGCATGGAGGGGAGGTGGTGGTGGGGGGCAGATATGGATCTGGGAAAGCCCAGCTTCCTCCACCTGGAGACAACGGGGCTGTGGGGAAGGACAGAGATCGGGAAGGAACGCAGGGCTCTCTGCCCACACACATTCCCCGTCCCAGCAGTGGCAGGTGCCGGCCCATTTCCCGGGGTGCTGGCAGAGCAGGAGACCCTGCTCCAGCCTCCTGCCCACCGCAGCTTCAGGCTCCTTTCCAGGAGCAGCTCTGCGGCAGGAGCCAGGGTTCAAGCACATTGCAGAAGCTGGCCGTGCCTTGCAGCTGAGCACGCCTGCTCCGATGGGAAATGGGTGGTCGGGCTGGGAGAACAGAGAGTTCCCTCCACCGAGTGATCTCCTGCCGTCGACTGCCAGATCCTGAACTTTGGCTCCGGCCAGGAGGCAGTAAACGAAGCAAATAATTGCCTGGCAGTGAGTGATAGGGAGTCAAGGGTGAGCGGGTAGGGAGGGGCGGGGGATGAGCGAGAGGATTATGTTTCAGAGGGAAGTATTTTTTTAGGATTTGTCTATGCAGGCAGTCAGGAGCTTTCCTGAATCACATGGACTTAGCCCCAGGAGGAGGAGGACTCGCTGTAATTTTACACCTTTTCAGCATTTCAGCTGGTTCTGCTGAAATCTGTATAGGGATTAAAGATGTGCAGGGACAGAGAATTAGTTTCCTTGCCTTTCCTCTGTCGGGACAAACATTCAAGGTTAAATAATAATTTAGAATTTTTTGATGGCATGAGTGGTGAGAGGAAGGAGCCAGCAGCTGACAGTAATAAATAACTATTAGGAAACAGTATTAGGAAATAGTACCAAGGAGAAATATTGCTGCTGGGATATGCTTTCAGCTTTGGGAAATCCATACCCAGGCAGCTCAACATTTACTTAGGTATCCAGAGCTTGTGTGCAACTTCTCTCAGACCCAGAGCAGCAGCAGTGCTGGGGGAGAAGCCCAAGCTCAGGTCCCCAGAGAAGAAGGGAAGTCAGCTCATTGCACGGATAAACATCTCAGGCTTCCACTCTCAGTGCCAAGAGTTAGCAACAGTGTCGTGTCCTTCCGCAAATCGACACTCAAACTGTCACCTGCAAAGGGAAGTGAAGTTTATATATGACCTATTGCTGTAACTTTGATACTGATCTTTATGGCCAGGCTTCTAGTATGTCTAGGGAGAACCTGTGCATCATAAACTGCTTAAACTGAACTGTCTGAGCTTAAACTGAAGGGTCTGAATTCAGAGAAAGATGTTAGCAAAAATCCTGTCCCATGTCCACTTAACGTTTACATTTTTACCAGGTTTGAGAAACACTTGAAGAACTATTCTAACAGATTGAGGTAATGGAAAAAGTCCTCAGTTTTACACACAAATCTCCCTAAATTAGAAACAATTTTCCATTTCAAGCATCCAGCATCAGGCAGCCCATTCCTCCCCTTCACTGGGCAGCTTCCTCAGGGCAGGGTCTGCTGGGCAAAAAGACAAAGTGTGGTGTAAAATGGGGTCAGACAGAGCCACGCCTGGGGCCACAGAGCCCGCAATGTTGTGAATGAGCACAGCCACCCATGATCTGAGTACCCAAAAGGCATCCTGGAGAGCAGAGAAGAGGCAGGAATCCCAGCAATCCCTACACCCACCCTCCTGGGAAGCCCCCGGCTGCAAGGCAGGCGTCTCCCTGCCATTCTCTGGGTCAGGAGGAAAAGTCCCCAGGACACAGCTGTCAGGGCAGCCAGATCTATTTTCAATCAGGACAGTTGGGCAGTGCTGTCAAAGCCCTTCAGTGCTGAGCACACCCGATGACACCAGCACAGTGCCACAGGGTACGTGGGTCTGAGCCACTGACTCAGCAGGCATTTAAGTCCATGACCTGTACAAGCCAGCAGTGTGGTCACACGTTGTGGTTGGAAGCAGGATGTCATGAGGAACATGGGCCATGAACATGTTTGTGGCAAAGAAGGCCACCAGCCTGCTGGGCTGCTTTAGGAAGAGCATTGCCAGCAGGCCGGGGAGACGGTCCTTCCCTGCACTCACCACTGGTGAGGGCACACCTGGAATGCTGAGTCCAGTTCTGGGCTCCTGGCCTCCCCAGTACACAAAAGACATACTGGAGCAGCCCAGTGAACCACCACAGAGACAATGAAGGGACTGGAACATTTGCAATAGGAGACCAAGGGAGATGGAATTGTTCAGCCTGAAGGAGGCTCCATGAGGATCTTACCAACGTGTATAGATACCCGATGAGAGGGAGTTTAGGAGACAGAGGCCAGGCTCTCCTCAGCAGGATCCAGTGGTGCTGAAATACATGAAATTCCACTTAGACATAAGAGAGAACTGATTTTCTGTGAAGGTGATTGCATATCAGAGCAGATTGACCCAAGAGGCTGAGGAGTTTCTGTCCTTGGAGATACTGAAAACCCAGCAGGACACAGTCCTGAACAACCTGCTCTAGTGGGCCCTGCTTTGAGCAGGAGGGCTGGACTGGACCATGTCCAGAGATGCCTTCCAGCCCCAATTCCTTTGTCATCCTGTGAACTGTACAGTGGTGAAAGCCACTCTTTATGCCTTCCATAGCACACTCTACCAGCTCCCATCAACCAGCAATTTAGGAACATCTTGTGCCAAGGCTTTGCAGCCCCATCAGTTTTCAATAATTCTTAAACTGTTCTTCCATAATTTTTTTTGCATTCAGTTGCAACGACCTATATAGCTTAATTGTACACAAGATATAAAATGTACTTTTATTTTAAATGTTGCTTGATGTCCTCACTGGACAGACTATGTCTTGTCCTGTGAGAAATATGAGTAAATGCACCCTCTTCACATTACTCACCATTTGTAAGATATACTTTGCAATGTCCTTTCCAAACTGGAGAGTCTGTACTGTGTGTGCCTCCAACAGGCAGCTGCCTTTAATTAGCCAAATGTGATCAAGACTGACTTGCCAGGGATACTCCAAGGACCTTTCTGTCACTATAGCAATGCTGAGTGTGCACAAAAGCCACTTGCACGCAATGGGCAGAGAAATGCAAGCACAGAAGATTTACCTATCATTAATTACTTCTGGAATACTTCCAGGCACCTTGAATCACTGCTGAAAAAATCACTTGCATCAAAACAGAATGGGACAGGGATTTGTACAGCACAAAAGTATTGTGGAACTCTACACTGATTTTGATATCGCAAAACCAGATGCTACGAGCACAAGCAGCAAAAAGGCAAATATCATTGGTATCCTTTGCTGGTACCTAGTGTACCAGCTCTTACTGTGTGCCCCTAAATTGCAAATAGACTGCCTGAATTCCCACAACAATCTGGAAAATTAGAAAATAACATTTGAATGCAAATCTGGGCTTCTGAAAGCAAAAGAGTCCTCAGAGTGCAGGAAACTCTTTTTCTGAGGATGCACACAGAAATGGCAGGGGCAAAGAAATGGCAAATTTTGTATGGCAGAATCTTTAAAGACATAAGCAGATCTTTAAACATTTCCAGAGCGTCTTGGCTTCAGTTTTTGAACAAGCAAGCAAATATGTCTGATGAGCCTTTACAAATCTCTTCTTCTCCTGCCGCAGCTGATGGAAAGCAGCCCCTCATCCCTGATTGTCTCTTGCCATATTTTACTTAGCTAAAAGCACCAAATGAAATCAAGTATGT